AGAATCAATACCTTCACAGTGGACAATAAGCACTATAATACTCATCTTTAAGAAAGGAGATAGTTCAGAAATAGGAAACTATCGCCCAATAAGTCTCATGTCCAACATATACAAGGTGTTCTCAAAAATAACACTGAAACGCACCACCAAAAAACTTAAAGAATAACAATCAAGAGAACAGGCTGGATTCCGATTGGGATTCGCAACAATTGATCACATACATGTGGTTAAACAGCTCATTGAAAAATGTCAAGAATACGATTATCCATTATACATGGCATTTGTGGACTATAACAAAGCATTTGACTGCCTGGAATATCAGTACATTTGGGAAGCCCTGAAAAATCAAGGAATAGAAAATAAATATATATAAAATATAAATATAAGAATAATAAAAAATGTGTATTCCAACAGCAAAACACGAATTAAACTAGAAGCAGAGGGGGAAATTTTTCCAATACTCAGGGGAGTGAGGCAGGGAGACCCACTCTCACCAAATCTTTTTTCATCCGTGCTAGAGGAAATCATTAGGAAGATGGAATGGGACAACATAAGGATTAACATAAATGGAACACATTTAAATCATTTAAGATTTGCAGATGACATAATACTTATAACAGATAACCCGGAAAGCCTTAAAAACATGCTTCAAGATTTATCATGTGAAAGTAAAAAGGTGGGACTAACAATAAACAAAACAAACACAAACATAATAACAAACAGATCCCAAATAAGTATCTCAGTAGATGAGGAGGAAATAGAATATGTAAATTCCTATGTATACTTAGGCCAACTTATCGCCTTCAATAACCAAATGGATTCAGAGATTGAAAGACGGGTAGCCAATGCCTGGAAGAGATTCTGGTCCCTCAAAGACTTCTTTGAGGGACCAGAATCTCTTCCAGGCTACAAGGCAATCAATATAATATTGCAATGAAAAGGAAAGTATACAATACATGCATATTACCAATCCTTACCTATGGGTGCCAGACCTGGGCAAACACACAAAAACAAAACCATAAACTGATTACATGCCAAAGAGCCATGGAGAGGAGTTTACTGGGTTACACAAAAATAGATAGAAAGAGAGCTGTAGATCTAAGACAAATTATCAAAATTGAAGATGTAGTAGTTAAAACTAGAAAACTCAAATGGAGGTGGGTAGGCTACATGATGAGATAGAATAGAAATAAATGGACGAAAGATATAACAGAATGGACCCCTAGATACCAAACAAAAAGGAAACATGGAAGACAAAGAAAACGTTGGTCTGATGACTTAAAAAAGCATGCAGGTTCAATATGACACAGAACAGCTAAAACAAGAGCAGAATGGAGAAAACTTGAGGAGGCCTTCGTATTGCAAAGACACGCCGACGCGACGCCCGATAACAACGACATACTTACCTAATAATATAATATCTAATAATACGGTACGGTATAATAATTACGGTACTACTGATGTTGAAAGTAAAAGTCACTTGGTGAAAATTCAGTTTAATCGCAGGGTATCGTAAGAGGTGACAGAGGGATACTAAAACAGAAGAGAAGCAGCACAACTCACAATAATAAAAAAGTGCAGTTACCAACCCGCCTTATTATTTACGGTACTACTGATGTTGAAAGTAAAAGTCACTTGGTGAAACTTCAGTTTAATCGGAAGGTGTCGTAAGAGGCGACAGAGGGATACTAAAACAGGAGATAGTCAGCAGCATAACTCACAATAATAATAAAGTGCAGTTACCAACCCGCCTTATTATTTACGGTACTACTGATGTTGAAAGTAAAAGTCAATTGGTGAAACTTCAGTTTAATGGCAAGGTGTAGTAAGAGGCCACAGAGGTATACTAAAATAGTAGATAGTCAGCAGCACAACTCACAATAATAAAAAAGTGCAGTTACCAACCCGCCTTATTACTTACGGTACTACTGATGTTGAAAGTAAAAGTCACTTGGTGAAACTTCAGTTTAATCGCAGGGTGTCGTATGAGGCGACAGAGGGATACTAAAACTGGAGATAGTCAGCAGCACAACTCACAATAATAAAAAAGTGCAGTTACCAACCCGCCTTATTACTTACGGTACTATTGATGTTGAAAGTAAAAGTCACTTGGTGAAACTTCAGTTTAATCGCAGGGTGTCGTAAGAAGCGACAGAGGGATACTAAAACAGGAGATAGTCAGCAGCACAACTCACAATAATAAAAAAGTGCAGTTACCAACCCGCCTTATTATTTACGGTACTATTGACGTTGAAAGTAAAAGTTACTTGGCGAAACTTCAGTTTAATCGGAAGGTGTCGTAAGAGGCGACAGAGGGATACTAAAACTGGAGATAGTCAGCAGCATAACTCACAATAATAATAAAGTGCAGTTACCAACCCGCCTTATTATTTACGGTACTACTGATGTTGAAAGTAAAAGTTACTTGGCGAAACTTCAGTTTAATTGGAAGTTGTCGTAAGAGGCGACAGAGGGATACTAAAACTGGAGATAGTCAGCAGCATAACTCACAATAATAATAAAGTGCAGTTACCAACCCGCCTTATTATTTACGGTACTACTGATGTTGAAAGTAAAAGTCACTTGGTGAAACTTCAGTTTAATGGCAAGGTGTAGTAAGAGGCCACAGAGGTATACTAAAATAGGAGATAGTCTGCAGCATAACTCACATTAATTAAAAAGTGCAGTTACCAACTCGCCTTATTATTTACGGTACTACTGATGTTGAAAGTAAAAGTCACTTGGTGAAACTTCAGTTTAATCGCAGGGTGTCATAAGAGGCAACAGAGTGATACTAAAACAGGAGATAGTCAGCAGCACAACTCACAATAATAAAAAAGTGCAGTTACCAACCCGCCTTATTACTTACGGTACTACTGATGTTGAAAGTAAAAGTCACTTGGTGAAACTTCAGTCTAATCGCAGGGTGTCGTATGAGGCGACAGAGGGATACTAAAACTGGAGATAGTCAGCAGCACAACTCACAATAATAAAAAAGTGCAGTTACCAACCCGCCTTATTACTTACGGTACTACTGATGTTGAAAGTAAAAGTCACTTGGTGAAACTTCAGTTTAATCGCAGGGTGTCGTATGAGGCGACAGAGGAATACTAAAACTGGAGATAGTCAGCAGCACAACTCACAATAATAAAAAAGTGCAGTTACCAACCCGCCTTATTACTTACGGTACTATTGATGTTGAAAGTAAAAGTCACTTGGTGAAACTTCAGTTTAATCGCAGGGTGTCGTAAGAAGCGACAGAGGGATACTAAAACAGGAAATAGGCAGCAGCACAACTCACAATAATAAAAAAGTGCAGTTACCAACCCGCCTTATTATTTACGGTAATACTAGTGTTGAAAGTTTTGGTGAAACTTTAGTTTTATCGGAGGATGTCGTAAGAGGCGACAGAGGGATACTAAAACAGGAAATAGGCAGTAGCACAGCTCACAATAATAAAAAGGTGCAGTTACCAATCCGCCTTATTATTTACGGTAATACTGATGTTGAAAGTTTTGGTGAAACTTCAGTTTAATCGCAAGGTGTCGTAAGAGGCGACAGAGGGATACTAAAACAGGAAATAGGCAGCAGCACAACTCACAATAATAAAAAAGTTCAGTTACCAACCCGCCTTATTATTTACGGTACTACTAATGTTGAAAGTTTAAGTCACTTGGTTAAACTTCAGCTTTATGTTTGTGATTTGGATTCTCACTTGTACTTGTTTCGAAAATATTTATTTAAATTATTAATATAGCTACTACCTATAAGAACCGACTAGTTTCTCCTTACGGCATCAGGTTATATAAGAATAACGAACATAAACTAATAGGATGGAAGACAGTTTGATAGATGCTAGGGTTTCAGTTTTACACTGGAGTCCACTGGTTGGGTGCTGTCGTCTTCCTTATTTCATTTAGCAGCAGTGCGTTCACTACCATGTTCCATTTCGAAGGGTATCTGGAGCCAGCTTAATTACAGGCTGTGAAACATTCAAGTCAAGGGTGACAGCATCTATACTAGCCTTCTCTATTTAAAATTCTTTTTCTCTATGGGATTATCAAATTAACTGCTGGTTTGTTTGTTTCGTATGCACAAATTGACATTAAAATGGACCGCCGCTCTGGTTTAGTGGTCGTAAGCGAGGCTGCTGATCATGAGGTCATAGGTTCGAATTCCATGTAGGCCATAAATCGCGGCATAATCGCATCCAAGGCAGCAGATGAGATCTGCTGCCTTGGAATGCGAGTAAAGCCGTTGGTCCTGCGCCTTATCTCTCTCCGATGCGTGTCGAATTGTCGTACCATCGGACTATGAGAGTGAAGGAATACACTTGGGCATTATACTCCTGACCTGCGCAGACGGTTAATCTCCGTTGAGATTGGTCACCGTGACCGAAATGCTGTCTGAATGACATTATTACTATTTGTATACAAATAAGGGTTGAAACACAAACAACAGGTAAATCAATAAAACACATTTAAAGACTAAATTGGAACCAACTATTGCATATTTATTGACTTAACGACCAGAAAACATTACATAATAAATATTATTTAATAATTTAAAACTTTATTATAAGCGTGTAAACGAAACTTAAACTTAGTTACGCCCCTTGGCTATTCTAAAACGAATATAAATAAACCGCCGACTATGTGGCTATTGCTAACGGCGTTTGGCAGCCGGCACCTGGCGTGTGGAGAACATGGCGAGCGTGGCATAATTGGCAACCAAGTGTCTGCCAAGCGTACCACCCAACCGAACTACTACCGTCTGACTTAGCGGCCAATCGCTTTTAGCATTTACATAATACTCTAACTTGGCTTGTTTAGTGACAGTGTTAAAAATTAAAGCGACCACCCTAACTGACAGTCACTTGGCGAGTTTGGCAGTTATTGGCAGTCGGGTGTACAGCGGTTGTTATGCATTGGCGCCAATTGACTGCCGGTAGACAGGCTTGGCCAAGTGATGCCGCCAAGTTGTCGTCTCTAGCCAAGTGCTTAGGAACGGTCCACCATCAGCTCGAAGTGGACCGAGCCGCGCCGCTCGTATCGGTCGTACTGGATGTTCTTGGCCCATGCCTTGCACTCGATGTTGATCAAAACACCGGCTGTAAATAAACAAATTTTAAATGTTAATATTTAAAAAAAGAACACTCGATTAAGGCACCTTCCAACGAAAAAAATAATTAAAATCAGTTCATCCGTTCAGGAGTTATAACATCACAGACAGACACACAGATACACACTACAAATATATATCAGCTCTCTGTTTTCGTAGTCATCCTTGTAGACTAAGCTGAAAAATATTCGATACTGTTAGCTCGTTCTGTCTAAATCGGACCAAAAATGAATATTAAAAAGTTCAACATAGTTAGCCTAAGCCTAACTATGGCATTAGGACGTCATCCACATTAGTCTCCCCTTTTCTTATTTGATTATTATTGTTCAGTGGTCAACCCTGTGACCATTGGCGCTGTAAATCGCCCAAAACGTTGGGAAACTAAAAGTTATCTGCATTAATTTTATTCAATTTCATACAAGAGCATACTTACTCCTGGGCTTCTCGAAGAGCACAGCCACAAGTGGACTCAGGTACCCCTCCTTATTGGTGAAGGGGTAATAGTAGGATGGGAAACCGCGGCCAGGAATGTACTGCACGGGACCCATGTTCTCCACGTCGGCGGGGTTCTCTCCCTGACAGGAGACCCACACCATGTTGGCATCTGGTTTTCCCTCCTGAACAAAGATAATTATGCAAGGTGTTCGTTAACTTATGTTATTTGTCCTGGGAATAGTCGAAAATTAAAATAACTGCGTCATGTTTTGTTGGGTCTTATGTTCGAATTCTACCAGTACTTTTTTTTTATAGGAGAGGGGACAAACGAGCATGCGGTTCACCTGATGGTAAGTGACTACCGCCGCCCATGAACAACTGCAACACCAGGGAGGGAAGTGCATATGCGTTGCCGGCCTTTTAAAAAGGAGTACGCTCTTTTCTTGAAGGTCCCTAAGTCGTATCGGTCCGGAAAAATCGCTGATGGTAATCGATTCCACAAGGAAGTCGTGCGAGGAAGAAAACATCTTCTAAATCGCACAGTGGTGGACCGCCAATCATCCAGATGGTGTGGATGGTATCGGGAGTTCGATTGGCTTATTCCGCAATCACGAATATGGGCATTGTGGCGGAATCTTTCCTGACACATAGCACTTTCGGAATTGAGAAAATCAGGGGGATATATAAGGAGTTAACTTTTAGTTACTATACTCACAATAGTTTTGATGTGATGTTTAAGGTCCTCAGGCATGATCGCTGGCAGATCCTCAGTGGTGTTGTAGGGTTGTGGAGTCCAGTTAAAGATCTGAAATATGATAAAGATTGTCACGAACGACTTTATATATTTCTATGACTTTACTATAATCCCCATGGTTTTGATACCATATCTCACACCATCCCTCATGATCAGCAGCGGCGTTTACGAACACTTGACCCTGGTGGTCAAGGTGGTGGTGGTGGCAGCACAGAATAAATATTATAGGGACAATTTGCCGTAACCATCGACAGATATGGGCAGTTGACGATATCAGAGTCAGATGTCTCGCAACTTTGACGCCGCTGGCTATTGCTGGTCTGGTTATTTTACGTTTGGCATAAACGAGATAGATATACCGCCATATATCGAAAGCTATAGATTATTACATAATATTAATTTAAAGTATTTTTTTTATTTACCACTGGTTCGGAAAATACCTCTGTCGTAAGAGCCAGCGGGATTATATATTTTTAGGCATATATAACTTTATAATAATTTTGTACAATTTTTATAAGAATTATAATAAAACCGGCGTGGTAGTAATCACCTCATTCCCAGGGGTTATATTCATTCATGTATTCCATAATATTATAACAATCCATTTGGTACAGTTTTTCTTTAACTTGTTGATTGCCACATGGCCCCATAAATGAATTACTAATTCTGTGGAATATAACACTCGTAACTGGCATTGCAACTTATGTTTGTTCTAGTAGGAACATCATTATTCTTATCAAAGCTATTCTTGTTTTTATTTACATATATTAAATTTTCATATTATAAATATTGCGACGCTAACGTTAATATGTTTATTCCTTTAGTTTTTTTTCTCTGAGGGACTCTTTTAAAATATTGTGAATTGCCAGTATGGCTCGCTTTTGCTTTGCAGTTCTAAAAAAATACCAACATTTACTTACATGAGAAAGTTACATTAATTTTATCCAGTGAACGTAAACAGTACTAAGATATTAGTATGGATGAAAAGTACCTAGTAAGATATAGTAGAAATGTATGGATATTCGTCTCTTTTATCTTCAAACCTCACCTTGTTCAGTTTGAGGAACACGCATGGTCCGCCTTGTTCGTAGTTGTACTGGTTGGCGGAGGTGCAGGGGTGGAAGTTCTCGACGGGCACGTCGCACACTTGCTTCTCTGCGAGAGTGCCGGTGCTGTACGAACAAGGGACGCGGTTCTCGGCGCCAGCGGCCTCCCCACCGCCGCTACCCTTCTTGCGGTATTCTAGTAAACACGGCTTACTTTTATAAATGTTTTTTACTGTTAGTATGTAAAAAAGTCTGTTAACTCTACAGGCCATCCCAGGAACTTACTGGTATGTTTGATCTCAAAACGTTCGACAAATATTTTTCGAGCGTTTTGAGATATATATTATATATGTTTAGAAAAACACTTTTTTCGAAATTTTGCGTCATCGATTTCTCGAGTCTGGATGTTTATCCTTTTGAAAATAATATTTCTTTCATGGCAAGATAAGAAAAGATGCGAGGTAGATGGATATTATTCCATATAAACTATAGAAAGGGGGTCATGACGGAAAAATCTTACACTCTTTCTCGCCTAGCCCCCATCCATCAAATTCGTTTCGTGCGATAAGGAACCTCGTTCCAAAAACAAATTTAATAAAAGTATATAATTACTAATCCACTGCTGATCGCAGCCTTATCATTTTGGTAGTGCCATGAAGTACCATCGTCTGGTGTTGTTGTTACTCATGGACAGCGGTCGTCACTTACAATCAGCTGAGCCTCCTGATGATAGGCGGATGCTATGGCCACAATACAGCTGCAGTGAGGCTCTAACACGTACAATTTCTTGTTGTTTTCATTTCTATAAATATATTTTAAAGAATCCGTACTAAAAAAAAACTTACGTTCAAGGTATTCGTCGATAACGCTGGCCCATTTGAGTACGGAGCCCTTATCGTTGGCCCTGTAGTAGATGAGCGTACTCTCCACGGTGGCTGACTCGGGCATTGGTCTGAAGCCCAGACCTGTGAGACAACAAAACAGTTTAGAAAACTTTTTAGACAACCTTTTTGGAAAAAAGACAAGTTGGTGGGGATTTTTTCGATTTTAGGAGATTGGCAAGCGATTTGATAGTTTATTTGGTGATAGGAAACTGCTGTTGCTACATTTTTTATAGAATGAGGGTGACAACTGAGCACACAGTCCACCTGATGATAAGTGGATGCTGTGGTCCATAGACAGCAACATTTATCCTCAATTACGAATCAAAATTCAGATGCGTTGTCACTCCTAAGTTTCCAGTAAAAATAGCCTCCAGTTCTCTGCACTCACCATACGAAACACAACAGTGTTAAGCAGCTATTAGACGCTGGTATTCTATGAGAGCGTGGTTCTAAACCCCGGTCGAGCTGACCCATTCGTGCTGCTACCATAATATAGCTGCAGCGTGATTTCACCACTTATAAACATCTGAGCAACACCAAAAAAAGTCTACAGAAGCGTTATCACCTCTGAGGACTAAGAATTCCTCACAATGTGATTTTACTGGAATTTTTGGATACCGGTTCAGATATTGGTACCGCACCAGAGCTAGTGGCAATCTTTGTTGGCTTAGTTTTGACGTTTTTTTTTTGTATTGTGTCAATGCACCAATACCAAATGCCGTGTAATAATCCACTAACCTCTATCATCCCGTGGTTGTTGTAAGAGGTGACAGAGAGAAAAGAAACAGGCGATGATGAGCGCCATCTCTTATGATTGCAACAATAAATTATAAATAAACTTCGGTTGCCAACCCGCCTGCCAAGCGTGGCTACAGTATATATCACCCTATGGGGCAATTTATGGTCGAGGCCTATGTTCAGCAATAGACCTTTGATCAGCTGTATATATATATATACTAGCTGACCAGGCAGACGTTGTTTTGCCATTTCCGACGACCATTTGCCTTACCAAAAAAAAAAAACTCCTGAGATTAGCAATAAAAACCTTGTGGGTCACTTATCGGGATAAAACTATCCTATCTCTCAAGTTGGACCAAACTTCACACAGTGTGCAAAATTTCATTGAAATCAGTTCAGTAGTTTAGGAGTTCATCGCGGACAAACAACGTGACACGTAATTTTTATATATAAAGATGTAGTAGTAAATACCATCACTAGGTCGAAGTAATAATTCTATTCATCGACATTATCAGCATCATCGTTGTTACAGTCAATTAGAATCCCACACCATTCATATAGCCAACATACAGACTGCTTCCATAAATTGCCACTTGGCACAATCCTGAACCACCAGCATCGATAGTCCCCTGCATGTTTCACAAATTAGTTCAACGTCATCATCATCATTACAGCCCTTCAAGTCCACTGCTGAACATAGGCCTCCCCAAGGAATGCCACAAAACACGGTCCTGAGCCACCTGCATCCATCGACTTTCTGCACATCTAAGCAGGTCGTCACTCCATCTATTTCGGGTCCACCCTACACTTCACTTGACGGTACAGGCTGCCACTCAAGAACCTTTCTTTCCTATTGGTTGTCGGTTCTTCTCTATAAACAATATGGTCTGCCCATTTACCACTTCAATTCTGTAGGGCAATTTGCAATTTAATTCTAAATCATACATCCATTTTGCAAACCAGTTTAATTTTTCTTCTAAATTTATTTAAAAGATAAATAAACAACCATTGCTGTAAAACGCTTACCTGGGTTGCTGCCGATCAATGAGCTATCCATCTGCCACTTGGGCATCTTGGAGTCCAGGGTTTGATAGAAAATCGCCAACATGGCGGCGAAGAATCCCACGAGCACCGCATAGAAGATGAGGTAAAACAAGAGGATTTTAGCTGTGAACAAATAATTATGACAATAAATTTATTTCATTACACACAACAAGTAACAGGAACAATAATACAGTGTGTGCGTACAAAGGTTCCCCAACAAAATACAAACAAATAACGTCTTTAAACGGTTCAAAAGAATACAAAAATAATTCCTACGTGGTAGAGCCATGCTGCAGCTAGAACGACGGAAGGACGACGCTCTCACAGAAAACCAGCGTTAAATAGCAGCTTAATGCTGCTGTGTTTCGTATGGTGAGTGTAGAGAACGGGACACCCTTTTTACTTGAAACGAGGCATTCCATCTCAGTCCTCACGGGTGACAACGCATCTGCATTTTGATTCGTAGTTGAGGATAGGTGTAGATGTCTATGAGCCACAGCAACCACTTATCAACAGGTGGACTGTGTGCTCGTTTGTCACCCTTATCCTATAAAAAAAGGATTTTAGTTTAAGGCACTGCCGCCCGCACTCTGCGTACGCCCATTTATTATAGAATTCACACAATTTTTGGAATTAATTTTAATTAAAAAAGAAAAGCGAACTTTAAAAAACCGGCCAAGTGCGAGTCGGACTCGCGCACCGAAGGTTCCGAAAAAATCCATAAGTATAAGTTTAAAATTATTAAAAATATTTTTATTATATGATGTAACTAAAAATGTATGCTTTTCGCAATTTTTCCTTTATCTGTGCTATAACACGTTGCTTCGTACCAAATCTTAAGATTCTGAGTTCACGGGAAGTATCCTGTAGGTTTTGTTTATCTTGCGAATGTCGAAAATTTGCGGCATAAACGGTTGTATCTTTTGATTGCGTTAGCTTAGAAGTTTGATTTTTTCACAGCTTCAAGGGACAGTAGACTTGAGTATTTGTTATGAATTTCAGCTTGATACCTCCACGCGTTCCTGAGAAAAAGGGTCTTGACAGACAGACAGACGGACAACAAAGTGATCCTATAAGGGTTCCGTTTTTTCCTTTTGAGGTACGGAACCCTAAAAATTAAATAAAACGTGAATAATATAAATTTTTAAATTATCTATCCATTAGTGTAATCCTCAAATGATTAGAGCATTAAAAGTAGATTTTAAATGTATTTACAACACATAACAAATTAGAACGTGGAATATGATGATAGGATATCGAACATTAATAATGTGCTTTTAGATGTAGTTTATTTCTCATAATTAATGAGATAATGGTCTCTGAATAACGAAGAAAACGCACTATCGCAAGATTTTGATCGGGGTATCGCCTTAAGGGAAGAATAATATGCGTAATACGTTACCTATATCTTTGTGAAGAGCAAAAGCGCAGTTTGAATTAGGTAATAACGAGCCTATGGTGATATTGCTATAGCACCTTACGCTTCTGTAGCGTTAAAAATATTTTTTTGTGATAATAGCGTAGTCTATGATGTGTCAATGTTTGGCTTATGTGCGGTGGAGCCATGCTGCGGGTATATTATAGTTGTTGTACGAATAAGTCGGCTCTATCGGGAAAGGACCACGCTCTCACAGAATACCAGCAAAATTGGCACCTTATTGCTGCTGTGTGCGTATTTCGTGTGGTGATTGTGGAGAACTGGAGACCCTTTTTACTGGAAACGAGGCATTCCATCTTAGTCCTCAGGGGTGACAACGCATCTTCTGCATTTTGATTTTTAATTGAGGATTATTAAAAAATGTTAATACTATTAAAAATTATTCTTATTAAAAAAAACTACTCGCTTTCACTTTCTACTTTTCTCGCATTTTTAAGAACTATAGAATATAATTGAATAAATTTGAATATTGTTTATTCAACATGAAATACAAAATACTACTTGTTGAAAAATACTTTTTTGCTTTGGCTACTGGTTTGAAGAAAGGAAACTCTGGGAAGAACCAGTAAGAATGTCAGTGGGATTTTTTAAAGCATTATTTTACAGTTATGTAAGATTTACAATTATTTATAAAGTAATTTTAGAAACTGCTTTGCAGAGGACACCTCATTCCCAAGGGTATAATAACCTCAACCAAAATGTTGAGATGAATACATATAAGTACATATATATTTTTAAACAATGACTTAAAAAGGATTATTATAATATTAATGACAGTTATTATAATATTAAATATCTACCCAATATTTACCTACACTATTAACACATTTTTGCCATTTTATGGGCTTGTTGACTTGCTATAGAAGTCAGAATCGATAAATTCTTTTTAAGCGCTTCTTCGGAATTGGTAAAAGGAAAAAATGACTTTCAATAAGGTTTACTTGTAATCTATAATGAATAACAAACATTCCATTCTATTCTATTGAAATTTTTGTTGATTCAGCTGAATTAGTGGGAACTGAACAGATTTAAAGCCCTGTAAACTATTGATTTTCAAAGCCCTACTTCTTGACATACATACAGAATATAATTAAGTTATTAGATTTAAATTTTCTGTCACTGATTATCATAAGTTAAATAAAAGATATTTGTTTTTACTATTGGTCTGAATAATTTTACTCCGCGACTAAACGGCTATTTAATTAAATAATACTTTAAAAAAAAAAACTAAAATAACACGCTTTTGTAGATAACAGAATCAAAAAGTAGAAAATAATTTTCAATAAGTTTAAACTAAGAAAATAGTAATTAACATAAAAAAAATAATAATTTTATTGTAAAAAAGTGTGGGGTGCTTTTTCGGATATTTTTATTATGACGCTAATTATACAATTATCCAGAAAAATATTTATAACAAAAGACATCAGCACCCCACGCTATTTTACAATAAGATGATTTTATATGTTAATCACTGTTTTCTTATTATAAAGTTATTGAAGTTTCTACTTTCAATTCTACTTTTTAGTTCTGTTAACTACATAAGCGTGATATTTTAGGTTTTTTTTTTGAAGTAACATTTATTATATATTTTTTAGAGCGGCTAACTACAAAAGCGTATTTTTTTTTTGAACGAAATTCTTTTACGGAGCTTACAGTAAATTGAACTGGCAGAAATCGTAGTTGTTTTATGAATTATTCGCAAATCCTGAGGATTCTGGCAAGGATAATGGGACAAACTATGTAAATTATTGCATTGTCATCGGTCCTTGATAAGTGTGCGAAGTTTCAAATCAATCCCACGTTTTGAAGGGGATGAAAACCACATTCAAAAATTCCGTTACATAGATACATACCAAGCTAATAAAAGCGTGTTATAAACAAACATATCTTAACTTAGTATTTTACGTCTGACACCATGACGGGTAGAGCGGTGGAGGGGTGACTACGGACTTGCATTTGGCATTTGGAACCCTGCGCTGTTCACACAGCGGCGTAGATAGTTGTTAGATCCTTTACTTATCGACACTTGTCTAATTCTTCCATCGTCTGATAATTTACGTTAATCAAATTGCCTACAACGGATTCGGACATTGTCATGTACACCACGTGTGGACACTACGATTAAGGTACGTGAGGGTAATATTGTCACCTTAAGCTTTGCCGCTTTTTGCCGCTATAAAACTAAAACTAGGAGGAGGACAGAGACAAATACAGAATGTCCTATACTATAACTAATATATTAATAAAAAAGAGTAAACAAGCCTTTACAATAATGAGGAACACTTCGAAAAATGAACTAAACAAAAACTAACTACACTACCCAATACTAATAATTAACTAAAATACTATTTACTATAATATCAACTGTCAAAATGGCGTCGATAAAGCGGCGCCCTTTTGACCCTTTATTATTTGATTGACTTTTGAAGAGCTATCGTATCACAAAGCCACTTATGCAAATAAGGCTGTAGTTTTTGAGTTATAAGAAAGAGACCATATTAACCGGATGACTATATTACCCTCACGTACTGTACTATTGTAAAATTTGCGTGATCAGCCGCACAAGCGAAGAAAAATTCACCTTTATTTCCTTACGCCCTCAAAAGATGTCGCAGAACGAAAAATCGAAGAGAATATCTCTTACTCGAAAATCGAATAGATCCCTTTGAAAATCTTATGACAACCGACAGATTAAGGAATAATTGGTTACCGTTACAGCCTATTCAATTGCACTGCTGAACATAGGCCTCTCCCATAGATTGTCTCATAGGAGGGATATTTTCCATAATTGCCAAGCCTGGCAAGCACGTTAGCAACCGCATTTTTTGTCGTTATTAGGAAGACGCTGCTACCCATCTCTTGACTTGTTTCCCTCTCCTCTTACGATACGAACGTGATGATATGGGGCAGTGGATATTCTTACACCGTCACTACATGCTATAATCGGTTAAATAACTGCAAATCTAGGGCCTCATTATCAATCACCACCACTGGTTTATAATAAGAAAAAAAGAAAGAAATGGAGATTTCCTTTCTGTTTCACAACATTGACTAGCACCGGGTTAATTATTTGAAATTACAATGAACAGTTTTAGTGTTCTACGAGTACGCACCAGCTAGTGTTACAGCTTGTGTTGCTTTCTGGTACTAAACAGAATGTACCTATATTACTTTTTTTTTAACTCGTAACATACTCGTATATTAAATTTTCTTAAATATACTAAGAGCCCAAAGTTAATATATGTTTTTATTTATTCAAATTTTGAAATTAACGGTGATATAGACGATTACACTATTTTTAGTTAAGTGTGGCTACAGACTTCAAAGTTCATAGCTTCAAGCTTCTTAGCTGTGTGGTAACTAGCGAGGTAGTATGAAACGCGGTCAATGTTCGGCGACCAATTAGTTTGGGAACGAATGACGCCGCCACTGACGAGCAATTATTAAGCCGATGCAGTCTGTTGCAGACCGCGGAATACAAACAATTGGAGCACTTAAACGCGTGTCATGTTTTTGATTGTTTCCTTTTTTTTAAAGATACATTTTTATAACGGGTATAGATTGTCTTATTTACAAATAAGTGCGCCTTCCTTTTTTTGTAATTTTTAGCACTTTTCTCTTATCAAATTTATTAAATAAGTAAAAATCTACTGAAACGCAGTAAAAATGTGTGCTGATTTAGATT